ATATGTTGCTAGACCTGGGAGCTCAGTATGGTCCCTCTCACCTCCAAGGTTATCTCACCTCCTGCCAGCCAGCCAGAAACGTGCTTCAACTAGCTCAGTCCTGCTAATCCTAATTACACCTTCCTGGAGTGCTATACACAGTTTCCTTCCCACCCTCAGTCCTTTTTCTCCAAGCTGATCCTGCTTGTCCTTTAATGGCACACCACCTCCTCACTTCCCTTTGTTTTTCATCCCCAGATACACCACCTCTCAGCACTTCTGTCTCTTTACCTCTCGCAGCCCTCAGCCGCCTGGTTGGTGGGTGCTGGAAAAGGATGCCCTGGACCCATATTTGCTTTCTGGACTCTCAAAAGAAATACTTTTTTGGCCAACACAGCATGAGCCTGTGCAAGTCACTGCCATGGCAAGTCAAGACCATTAAGAGGGAATATCCTCTAGTACTGTAACTGAGAATATGTGATTAAGGAACCGTTTTAGCCCAGGCTAAGGATGAACTGGAGCTTTTGAAGTGCTCTAAGCTCACTTGCTCCAAGGCATGGCCAACTTCTACGTACCATGGCTGAAAAGGATGTTTTCCTAGAGACCTTTGTCTTTCCCTTGAAACTGATTGCCTTGAACATCAGACCAGTCAGATGGAGGCTGGGACCAGCCTAGGTGCAGGAGGCTGGATCTGTCCCCAAACCACTGCCTGGCTCCAGGCCTGTTTTGCATCCTGTAAAATGGGAAAAGCGGGGGAGCTGTTTTGCTGAGGCACTCTGAGCGCTGCAGGTGGGAAAAGCTTTATAGGTGTCCATGCCTTGAACCTTGAACCAACCTTCTATAGCCATTGCAACATTTCTGTCCCTTCTGATGTGAAATAATTTTCTTGGTTTCTTGTGCACACCTTAAGCTTTTCTCCAGCAAACAGAGAACAGCCTAAACATCTGACGCTCCTGCCTTTCTTCATGGTTTGGTAGAAGTCACTTCCGATGATGTGCGATGGATGTGCCTAGTCACACAGTTCACTGCAGTAGGCAAGGATCCACTGAGCTGTCCATGCATAAACCGTCAGGGGAACCTCCAAATGTGAGGATACATTCAGTACTGGCAAAGCACAAGCAGACCTTATGGGAGGCTGCTCAGCACGCGTCGCTCATGTAGAGAGCAGCGTTAGGGAACATAAAAGGTTACAAAGTCAAGCTTACAGTGAAGAAGTCATGCAGCCATTTGCATGTCCTGGTGTGTTGATACCACCTTTAATTGCAGATTGCTATAGCTAAAAAAAAATAAAATAAATAGGCAGACTTCTGGGCACACCAGCACCTTTCCTGCCTTTTCAGAGCAAAACACTAAAAAAATGTGTTTGCTTCTTCCATTGCCTATCAGTTGAGCTAATAAAAGCTATTAAATGTCCCCAGCCTTTGTCTGGTTTTGTTTCTGGAACCACTTGATTGTAGGAGCAGAATAGCACAGGGCATGTTCAGTGCAGGATTGCAAGCAACACTTGCACTTTCTTGGGGTGTTGGGGGCTGTTTTGACAGGCATTAGACACTATTGAAGCCATATTTAGCTGGTGCAAAAGGCAAAGCTGCAGTCAAGTCCGTTGAAATCTGCTTACTGCACTGGAAAGCTGGACCTTCCTGAGACTTTTTCAAGCTTTTTGGGGATTGAATTCTGTGTGCTCCCTAGACAAGTTTAATTTTTTTTTTATTTCAATCTCATACTTTTTGCACATCTTTTAAAATAACAGACTTCAAATTCCTTCTTGATGTTTTTAATGGCCATTTTGTTTTAAAAAAATCTATCCTTTGAACACTTTGCATTGACACCAAGAGACTTGTGAGATATCTGTGAGCCAGACTTGGAATTTTTACCCCCACTTCTTAAACTCATTTTTCATATCCATCAGTTGCATTGATACCAGGGTGGAAGGCAGCAAGAATGTTAGAGGCTTTATTTTTTACTCCTCCTGTGATTATTTGTACAAGCTCTTTAAGGACAGTTCAGATCTTCTCTGTACTCTGGAAATTAAACCTAGACATCATATATTAATGTTTTTGTTTGTTTGTTTGTTTTTTTAACAAATTGGAACAAATTACCACAGATGGTGGTAGGTTCTCTATCTCCTGTTGTCCTCAAACCCTGTCTGCCATTCTGGGAGATGAGCAAATAGTCAAACACATATTACAGCATTCAATGCAAAGGTCAGTAGAGATCTGTATTGGCCAACAGGTCTGATGGGATAATATATCAGTCCTCCTGGCCATAAAATGTATTTTAATGCACTCTGGGACCATTTTAGAAAATTCACAGAGCTTTTGTCAGTAACAATAACAGAATTTGAGGAACATTATAAAGCAATTTTGCATCCCATTTCTTTAGAGAATGCCTCAGAGTCTATTAAACCGCCTTTGAGAGCTGTAATTAAGTGCTTTGAAACATATTTGGGACAGTTTTGTTTCAGGCTTCGCCTCCAGCCTCTTTGGCTTGAAAAACACGCTTGTTTCCAGGAAAGTGACTATTGCATATAATTGAAATTGGAAGTTGATTGGGGAGGCTGCTGGCTCCAAAGTGCCCTAGTACTGCTGGTGCTTTTGTGAGCTTGGAGGAAGGCCTGGTTACCTCTTGTAAGAGCTAATAAAAAAATAAATTCTCTTTACTTTGGATCCACCTACAATTATTTTTTTTTCTCATTTTTGCAATACTCTTACTTAATTTGTCTTGGAGTAAACAAAAATAGCTCACCCCAGCGAACCCAGTGGTGTCCTTCCTTTTCAGTTGGTCAAGACATGTCTGAAATGCTGTGTGATTGTCACTGCTGGACCCGAAGAATGAGAAAACTCCGGTTCAAGAGTCCTGAAACAGACATTTAGAGACTTACAAGAAACTGGCAATTCTTCTTCTTCCTGTCATTGGAAATAAATGCCAAGTGCAGGGTGGCAGCATCCCCTGCATCCCACCAGTGCTGTCCCAGTGGGGCTGAGGCCCTCTCAGCAGCCCCTCGGCTCCCCTAGGGCAGCATCAGCCTCTGCAGCTGCTCCCTACACTGAGTCAGGGATGGCCTCTTCTGGCAGGGTGAGCACAGCCACCTCCAGTACTTGAATTAGGCCACCAAAACCATTAAACTGTGCTAAACATCACAGCATTGAAATTCTATTTCAATACAATAAATAATTTTTAAAAATAATTTTAAAAAAAGGCTTATTTCCCTCACCTTTCAGTTTCTGGTGTTTTACCTTCTAGACAAATTTTCAAGCTTTTTCACAGTGTATGTAACACCTTAGTTTTTAAAATGCTTAGGGCTCCAGGAGCAGGCTTTAATTAGTGCAAATACCATCAGCCTTGCTGTAATAGGATGCAGCTGGGAGGCACAGCTGGCCCTGGGATGAATTGCTGGCGGCTGCATTTTCTCCTCATCTAGGTACTTGCAAACTGCCCAGCTGTCTCCCAGGGTGAGGGGCTCTGCTGGCTGGGTGGGCAGTGCCCCTAGCAAAGGTAGTGTTTTGTCAGGGGTGTCCTGTGTGCTGTGCTCTGCTCTGCTCATGCCTGGCTGGAGCTCCCTGGCTTGGACAGAGCCAGTCTCGGTGTGTGATGGCCAAAGTCTGGCTGAGAGCAAATCTCAGCCAGGCAGGTTTCCCTCACTGAGACTGTGTGATCCAGCAGGCACTTTTGTCTGCCTGAGGTGCCCCTGAGCAAAGCTCAGCCTCCAGCCAGCCCTGCCTGATGGCTCAGCCGTGGGGTCTCACTCCCCCTCAAATCCTGCCCTGGTTCAGTCCTTCTGCCTAGCAGCTGCACCCTGGGTGAAATGAGTTTGACCAGTCTCAGCCCATGTTATAGCTGATTACGTCCACAGTGTGAAAATCAGCTGTGCAGAGTGGACAAGATGCTCCTATGGGTCTGGGCAGCATAGCTGGTCCTGTTGACCTAGGGCCAGTCAGAGTGGCTGTGGTGGGCGGTGTGACAGTAACGGATATCCCACATAGCCAGGAGGCACAGGCTGGATGCACTTCTAAGCAGCTCCAGCAGCTCTTGGCCTGGCATGAGCCCTCACTGAGAGACTGCCAACCCTCCCAAACCAAAGACATTCCCCCGTGGACTTTGTAGGAAAGCCCAAAAGCGAAAAATTAAGGAGGAATGGGAGGTTTAGTCAGAGGTCTTTCTCCTGGGGTGAGAGTGGCATGTTGCAAACATGAGGTGGGAAGAAAGAGCAGGTCACTGTGATGAAGAAGCAGATGGAGGTAGGAACTGGCCCTGATTCTCCTTAAACTCCTGGGAGAGATTGAGGCAGAGATGATGTTTGCATATCTGTTTCCCAGCTTTCACCCTGAAGCACATTGCATGGCCTCCAAGCAGTGGGCATGGATGGCCTGAACTCAAGCCCCCCATCCCAGAGCACCCAGCACACCCCAGCCCCAGTGATGTCTCCAAGGCAGGAGGAGGAGAGGGAATGCTGAAAGCAGCCCTTCCAGTTGCCTTTGCGGGGGACAGAGAGGCAGGGCAGGGCTGGTGAAGATTGAATCTAGTGATTACTTTAAGGGATTTGCTGTCTCTTTCTTTATCCCTCTCTCTCTTTTCTTTCTTTCGTTCTTTTTGTTTTCCCCTTTTCCCTCCCTCTTATCCCTTTCGTGGTGCATTTGTCTTCGAGGAACCTGGGGTGTTCTTTTCATCAGTTCAATCTCTCTCTGGCACTTGAGTCCTGATTGGCTGAAGGACTTAGGGAAAAAAAAAAATCTTTAATTAAGTAGATAATCTCTTCTTAGGAAGTTCTGTGGCTCCATTTCACCAACCCCCTTTAGCTCTTACTTTAGGATTGCTTACCCTTCACAGAAGTTGGGATTCAGGGGGTATACGCCTCTTCATCACACCAGGACTGCCGGGTGGAAAAAAAACCTCCATCCTTTCCCTAATTTTGTGTTTCTTTTTTCTTTTTTTTCTTTCCTCTGGTGGTAGTGGTGGTACCCAGGTGGTTTTTTCTTTTTAGGATCTCCTTTCTCCCTCTTTATTTGGATTTTATATTTCACATGGACCCTTATCTGGGCATCTTCTTCCTCACTCCCTTCTTCCAATCCTGCTGTGCATGGTGAGTATCGAGAGCACCTCAGTCTGTGTCACAGGCAGGTGCTTTTCCCAGACACCCTAAGGCAATTCCTCTTCACCTTCCTAAATGTCCCCTCTTTCGCACTTAGCTCAGTTCTGGTCTTTAATGGGACCAGATATTTAACTAAATCCCAACACACTCATTGGTACAGAGGTTAGATCGAAGAAAGTCCGCCTTTTCCCCTGCACCTCCCAACAATAACTACATGGGCCAAATCCTGAGGTGGGGTAAAATAGAATAGAGGAGAGCAGATGCGGAGGATCTAGCCCGACACTTCCAACTGGGAAGATACCCCAATGTGAGAGCCAGGGATTTCTGCTTTACCAGAGGCTCACAGTCAGCTTGTTTCTTGTCTTAATCAAATCAAGTGGGGCTTCTCCCGCACTGCCCGAAGAGTACAGTCCCTGATTAAGAGCTCAGAGCCAGCAGGGGTGAGTTAGATCCACAAGAGCATCACTCCAGATGAGCAGCCTGAGACCCGCGCTCCTTGGCAGGCACAGGGTCAGGATTACACATGTCTGAAATTCATGTATTAGGAATTCCAGGGGAGAAGATTTTGTACAGAGATTGCTACGGCTTGGTTGCCAGTCACCTGAGTCCCACCAGACCAGTTCCCCCGTGCACAAACCCGTGCTCATCTCCTGTGGGCCTCTTGCTCTGTCCTAAGGGTGGTTTTACATTTATTTCCAGAAATGTTTTATAAGGGTGAACAGAAAGAGATTACAACTTGTATCAAATCTGGTATCATTCCTTGCGGAGTATATCTATTCCATGCCCAAATGGAGATGGACTCAAATGACCTGGCTCTGTAGGTATTTTTTCCTATGTGATTTTTACTGAATACCCAAACTTTATTCTCCATTTCTGTGATGCCCTGGGGAATCTGCTCAGTGGGTTACAGACCTCTCTTTAACAGCAAGGAAAGCCTTTTCCCGTTCAAATACTAAAATCCCCTGCCTCCCCCATAGCAGATCTCTAGGATTATTACCATGGATGGAGAAACCAAAATTACAGAAAGAGAAACTCAAGAGTAAATGGGAAGTCATTCCTGTTAGGCTGGGAGTGAAATTTATGTTCTTTCAGAGATTTTCTACTCCCTTCATTAAAAGAATGTGCAACAGTTTGTATATGTCTAAATATTATACAGCGGCAAACTCAAGATAAATCTCCCTTCTGGAACAAGGGGAATATGTATGTTATGCAGAGAGGCTAGGCAAGAACTCATGCTGATTTTATTTTTATTTTTCTGCTCTTCCTGTGTATGTTTCTTGCTTTCATCAATATAATCAGGTTTAGGATACATTAAAAGATTAAAAAACCCCAACATTTTAAAGAAACAGTTCAGAGGGGAGAAACTTCAGAGCACAAAGTAGAGTTACATATAGAAATCCCAGGCATTTTCAATAGAAGTTGGATGTCCAAATTCCCTGTCTGCCTTTCAGAAGTTTTTATCTAAGAGAAGAGTTTATAGATCGAGATAGCGCTGCTTCTCTCCGCATGTTGCTTATAGATCATAATTTCCTGAGAGAAAGGAAAATTGCAAACTTTATTCAAAATTATCGTATTACAGACCTTGTCCCTTAACTCCTGAGGATAAAAAAGCAAGGTTTGTGGGAATCATACAATAATCTTGCTTGCAATTTTTGCTGGTCTTCTTTATCTGATCCAACAGCTTAAAAAGCAACAAGATTCTTTTTTCCTATTATTTAATCACAAGAATTAGGAGCAGGGGAAATATAGATCAACAATAATTTTTTTATATATTTCTGTGGCCACTTCCCTTCTCTGAGTGTGGATTAGATTCTGCCGTGGTCAGCATGTTTCTAGATGAGCAAAATGTCAGGGCTGCATTTAGGAACTGAAAAACAAATAAATATAACAAAATAGAAAGAAATTAAGGAAAAAAAAAAAAAAGTAAAGCTCCAATTGTTAATGAGTTGCCTCCCGATCTCCTGTCCTGTGGAAATAATGTAACAATCTCTAATGCAGCAGCTTGTTTCTAAATGCTTTTTTACACTTCAGCTTTGGGATTGCCTTTAGTTTCCAGTGTCACTAGTTTTCTAATAACTTGGAGGAGTTTGTACTTGAGAATGAAACTCAGATCCAAAGTGAAATTGTGTTCGTTTTCTGTATTTACAATAATACAGTGAAGATCTAAATACAGCTTTATTATTTTCTAAAGAGCTGAACCAGCAGCACAATAGCATGAGTGGGTGATAAGATATCAAAAAAATACTTTAATGGGAGATTTGATAAGGCTCTTAGGTCATACTAAACATAGAAGCGGGGTGCTGTTATTGATTACAGTTGTAACTGAGCAGAAATTATCAGAGGCTTATTACTATTTGATATGTGTAAAATATAATGGGACAGCTGCTGGGCAGGGTTATTTGCTTTCAGGTTCAATAAAACTACAAAAAGAACTCCTGCTATAGATATTCATTAGCTTTGAGATAATTTCCTAATATCGGATGCAATGAAAATCGCTTGCCCTAGATTTGCTTTTTTCCGGGATGCATAGAGTTGCAGTGAGGGAAGCAGCATGCCGTGACCAGGGCCCTGCATGGGCTAGGGAGAGGGCTGAAGAACTTGGTGGGACTCCTTTCTCTACCTGCTGAGGTCTGTCTTTGCTCCGCTTCAGTCTGTGTAATGCTGTCCTGGAATTTGAAGGTGAAGGCAAAGGGGTCTAGATATCTAGAAACCCTGTAAGCTTTCTTGGAGAAGAGAAATAATTTCAAGCGTTTCCTTTCGTGTGTGTCATTTCAAAAAGTTTTAAATCAGTGTGGTGATGCCAAAGTCATGCGAATTAGGCTGGTTTACACTCATTGTTGGATGCAGCTAGCTGGTTAGTTTAGGATTACATTCTGCTTTGCTTTACAGTGGCAACAAAAATTAGGAGAAATAAATAAATAAAAGTTGCACTACAGAGACAAAAATGAAGAGAGATTCATTTTCATAGTGATTCCTATTTGCAGCACAGAGATGACTGTAGTGGCATTGTCAATATTGCACTACATCCGTGAAACAAGTGGCTTAATTACGCTCTGCCCTTGCTGGAGACTATATCCAGAATAGAAATGCATTTTTCTTAGACAGATCATATGAGCAAAGACAAAGCGCACAGATTTTGTCTCCATTATTAATTTTCCCTCTCAGCATAAATAAGAAAAATCCCAGCTAGCCTCCAGCCATACGACAGTTCCATCTCACCTTCTCCTGAATCCACTTGCAAGTGCAGGAGTTAAATGTGGGGGAGTCAAGTGCACCAGTCTAAGTGAATCCTTTACTTGTCTAAGTCCTACAAACCCACACAGCAGCGTGCCTGCCTGTTGATCAGACAGCTCAGGGAAAATGCCTTCTGTCTCTCTGACTTTATTAAGTCAGATTTTATTAAAATGTTTAGAATATCCTGCTGGGAAACTGCTACTGTACCATTTGCTCAGCTGCAGATGGTGAATTGTCATATCCTGAACTTGGCCTTTTTGTGAACCTTGAGGTTTATCCTGGGAGGAACAGATCCTCTGCTTCAATGCAGTTTTGTCAATTGACACCTGCTAAAAGGTGTAAACTCTGAACTTGTGGATTACTGTCCTCCTTCTAAAGCCACCCTTGCAACTGCTCAGATGTTCCTAATTCAAGATGAAGCTAGCAAGGGTTTGGAGCAAATCCTTCTTGCACACTGTGAAATTCGTGTTTCCTACCCAGGTGGGAAGCAATGCAGGTGGGATGTACTCTTGTTTTGATCACAAAAGCAAGATAAGAGAGGACTTGCAATTCTCTAGATCTTGCCTAAACAGGAGCATTTTACCAGAGTTTTCTCACAGCTGCTACCAGGGGCTCAGATTCACACTGACACTATCCTGAGTGTGGTCCCCATAGCAAAGCACTTAAGGTCAAGGCAAAGGACAGGAGGGAAACCAGATGGAAAAATGACTTGTTCATGCTGCTACCCAGTTATGTTAGGATGGGGATGCATGGAGCTTACACAGTCTGAATAGCCCTAGGTTCATGGCCCTGTGTGATTCAGGTCACCCGATGCTCTAATCACCCGGCTACAGATGCCGTCTCTCCAAGTCCCAGGAAATATTTAATTAGCTGTACAATGCAGAAGCAGCCCCCAAAGGAAAATTCCTCTGCAAAACAGCCATCAACTTCATGCTAACGTACCCACGGGGGCTGGAGCACAGCCGGGTCTGAATCCCAGGCCTGGAACAAAGAGAAAGGATCTCCTGCTCCCGCAGTGCCCTGGCAAACCCCTCTCCCTCCAGTTTTGAATCAGGGGAATCTTTCCCAAAGCAAGCTTCATCAATATGGACACATTTCCACCAAAAAACCACAACAGTTAGACTTGCGAGAGTGAAACTTTGCAAACTAGTTCTCTCAACTCTTTCTAAACTGTGAGTAATAGCAAAGAACAGGTTTCTTGTGATTTTGACCAAGGTAAAATAACGAGACCTCCTTTTTGTGGTGTACCTTGGAGAGGATCTACATGAGGGCAGTTCTAGTGGAGGTGAAACAGGCTCGCTGACGGTAGCAGTGGTTTTCCAGGGCAGGGAAACATCCTCTCTAAATCTCTCATGTGTCTGATGTATGGGCACCAGTCCTGCCCCCATGTCTATGGCAGGGCTGCAGCATGACTACACTTTGTCCTCTGGCTTGGGATGGCAGTGCCTGCTTCTGCTTGTGCTTGAGCCCACCCTGGGATGCTGCTGCACTCTCCATGCTGGATTTGTAGCACAACGGGACAGTGCCTTTCTCCCCCTTACCAGGAATACCTGTGGCTCCAGACAGCATTGCTTGAAAACACACAGGGAAGAAAAAACATACCCTAACCCACACCTTTCTCCCCCACATCCAGCCATGGTCCACCTAGCTACTGGGATTTTCAGGGAATGGAGAGGAGCTAGAAAAGCAGCAAGCATCACGGCATGCCAGAGTGGAGAGGGGAGCGTACTGCTCCTCTGAAGGGACAGAGTGTGGGTTAAGGCTCTGCAAGGGCTAGTTGAAAAGAGGCATCCTCCACTGCGATACATGCAGCATTTGAAGCAGAACATCATCTCAAGAAGAAGCTGAAGAGCCCAGTTTCTCTCAGTGCATGCACTCGATTTTTCCTGATCACTGACAGATCTCAATCCACTCATGCCACCTCTCTGGCCTCAGAGTCCTCCCCTGGGGATAACAGCACTCACCCATCTCTCTGGACTGCCAAGGTGCTGGCAGGGGAGATGCTCTGGAGACTCACCAGAAAGAGTGATAAGGGTTATTTTGCAAACCTGGAAAGACTGGAATGAAGTGTTTGTAGGAGAAACCTCCCTTTTCTTTCCTCATTTCTGGCTAGGGATGTTTGGGGTTGGCTCTTGGGCCTTTTTTAAAGCCTCAGCCCTTTCTGCCATGACACAGCTAAGCTGGATTCACCCAGGCATCCTCCAGATTCCTAATGGTGGTCACTGCATCACATGGAGTTCTAACACTGACCATTTGCTCTCAAAACAGTCTTTCTTGCTGCAGAAAGAGATTCAGGCTGACCAGGCTCTGCTCTGCAAGCCCGTGGGGAGAGTGATGGAGATCAGCCACACTGCCTTGTGGCCCTTGGAGTTGATCCCTTCGCACCTTCAGTGGAAACACCAGAGACTTTAATTTTGGCCAGGACCACCCCCTGCCCCATACCCCCACTCTCCCTCTGCACAGGGCCCAGCAGGATGAGGAGGACAAGCGTGTTTTTGCTCCGCCATCACCATAACGTGATCAAGAAGAGAGTGTGGGCAGCCAGAGCTGGCACCACAGGAAAACAAGGGACCATGATTTGGGGGGATGCTGCCAGAACATACGCTGCAAAGGAGCAGCAGTGCAACCTTGTCCTTCCCTCAGCATGGTCGCACAGGGAGAGCAGTGCTGGCACATGGTCCAGCTCTTGGGGCTAGAGGCAATGCTACTCTGAGTTAAGCCAAGCTGCAGTTAGGTAAGGTAAAAGCAAGGCTGGGGGAACAGGAAAGCCCTAAAAAAAACCTGGAGGGATTAGTATGAAGGGCAGCTGTGCAAAGAAAAGCAAAAGCAGGGAGCAGTGAAGGGGTTGCAGCCCAGTACAGCCTGGTTGGGGGAGTGGGGTGGGGAGAAGGGGAAGGCACTGTCCTGGCTCACAGTGAGGGAAGACAAGGGGAGAGACCAAAGGTGCCTTCAGCGAGGAGACAGGCAGGCTGGGGGGGACCAAGAGGAAAGCCCTGGGATGCCAGGCATTCCCCAGGCCCTCCACCATCACCCCCTCCCTGCTGACACTGTCTCTGTCTTCCAGGTCAGTGAATAATTTCCTGATGACAGGCCCCAAGGTAAGAGAAATCCCTTTGATCTCTGTCCCTGATTCCACTAAACCCAGGGAGGGCGGGCCTCCTCCTTCCCACTCTCCTCTCCATCCAGCCTTGGCCAGAGCTCCCCTTACCCCCAGATTTCCAGTGATAAGGCAGAGGAGGACCAGGAATAACTTGCTATGAAATACAGCTCCTTGAGCTGTGTCAGCCCTCAGCAACTTTGGCCTGGGGTCCTTTTAAGCTGGTTGGTGCCAGATTTGAGAGATTTGTCTATTGGCACCAGCTGAGGCTCTCACCTGTCATCTATTGCTTCCTAATGATCAGGTTAGCATCAGGATCCACATTCATCAAGCTAGAAAGGTACTTTCTGCAGGCCCTGCAAAACACTCTTCCCTGAGGAGCACAACTGGAATTCAGTGGTTTTGATCCTCTACCTTCTTGCACTCCTCTTTTAGAGCTTTTTTTTCCTAGCCAGGACCAGTTATAAAATTAACCTAATTTTCATCCTGGCTATTCCCCAGGAACACCTCCAAGCCCATCTAGCTCTTTCTACAGCTTTCAATGCTGTGGTGGAGTGACCTTGCCCCAGAGCACTGCCTGTCCCCCTGGTGCTGTGGTGAAGGAGGAGGCAGGCTGAGGCACCTGCTGGCCTGGAGCTCCCTGGTCTCTGAGAAGGCTCTGCCTCCTCTCATGTGGGAGAGATAAGGGGTTCCCCATTGCAGGGGCTGGCTGGCGCATCTCCCAACATGCCTAACAGCCAACAGCTCAGCCTTCTCCTCCTGGGGGTTTAGGGTCTGGCCCAGTACAGCAGAAAATGCATTTGGTGAGTTGACGGTGAGCTCTACTCCCCAGGGGAGCCAAGCCTGAGAGACCTCCTCAGCTCTGTACGTCTTGACTCTGTAAGAGGGCATGCAAGTTATTTTCAGTTGAATGCCAGTCTCTTGGGGAGCCTGGGGCCATGTTCTTCCTGATGTTTTGCACTGTGCTTCGCCATCTAGACCCTAAAGCAGCAGGACCCGTGATATGCAGCGCAGGGCAGGAAAGCCACGCCTGCATCAGCCCTACTGCTGTGTGGGAAGTGGCTGGGGCTACGCCAGCTTTGCGCTGCCTGCAATGGAAACTAGAGCTGCTGAGGGACTCTCCTGGACCCTGGGAGTAGCCTGGGGACACTCCCAACCTGTGACCCATGGGGCTGTCCGGACATGCTGGCCAATGCATTCTGACTCAGTTTTGCAAGTTAATGCTGGGAGGCTGAAGCGGGGCACACACTGTCCCTGCTCCTGACCTGCTGCTCTGCTCCTAGGCCTATCTCATCTACTCCAGCAGCGTGGCGGCTGGGGCACAGAGCGGCATCGAGGAGTGCAAGTTCCAGTTCGCCTGGGACCGCTGGAACTGCCCCGAGAGGGCACTGCAGCTCTCCAGCCACGGTGGGCTGCGAAGTGGTAAGGAAAGCATTGGATACCAATACTGTGACCCCCTTGCTACAGGTTAGAGGCCATGGGCCCCTCCTCTCTTCCCAAGTGCTTCCTTTTCTTCCGCATCCCCACCTGGGATGTGTCTCTCCAAGGCA